ATATTTAAAGTGGTTTTTGTTTTTTAAATGTGAGCTTTTAAAAAAATCCATTATATCTTTGACTTTTGAATGCCTAGTCTATTAACATGTAATGTAATAATTAGCTGGGTGTGCATCTACCACCACATATATGTTTGGGTCTTTGGGTCTGCTTTCTTGCTTTTTGTGATTACATATAAATATATTTTTATAATTCTATTTTAATTTTCCTCTTGGTTAAAAAGTTAAAGTTCTCTGCATTATTTTTCATGATTGTCCTATGGATCATAACACACTGTCTTGACTTCTCACAGTCTATGTACTTTAACAATGCTCTGAATTACATAGTATTCAGAAATCTTCCGACTGTACAGATCCATACTCACACATCTTGTTATGGCTGTCAAAGGTAATAGATCTACATATATTAAGAACTCCAGAAGACAAGGTTATATTTCAATTTTAAGCAGCTATCTGGTTTATAAAGAAATTAAATGAAAAAGAAAAAGAATCCTTTGTATTTCTCCAAGTTAACTGTATTACCAATGCTTTTCATTCTTTCCTGAAGATCTATGCTTTCATCTGGCATCATTTCCCGTCAGTGCGAACATCTACAAGGGACAATCTCTGGAGTCCCATTCCATCATCTTGCTCTGCTCTCTTTGAACAACTCATTTGGATTTCTTGTGGGGATGTTGTGACAAATTCTCTCTCTCTCTTTCTCTCTCTTTAGATCTTGTGTACAAATATATTCATTTTATTTTCACTCCTGAACAGCACTTTTGGATATAAACTTCTGAACATAGTTTCTGTTTTCTTTCAGTACCTTAAAGGTATTTTACCTGCCAGTTTCTTATGAGAATTCAGCTGTTAATCAGATCTGGTCTCTTTTGTATAAGAAGTCTATTGAGGTTTTTGAGAAACAGTTTCATATTTTTAAAAAATTTTATTTATTTTTGCTTTTTTAAATTATTCATTTATTCACATGTGCATACGTTGTTTGGGTCATTTCTCCCCCCTGCCCTACTCCCCCACCCTCACTCCTCCTTCCCTCCTCAGTTTCATCTTGATATGCCCTACTTGAAGCATGATTCTTCATGTTTCTTCTACTTGCTATTTTTTTACCATCTTGCATCTGCAAGTTTTTGGCCAATGTTTCTTTTAATATATTTTCTGCCCCATTCTAACTCTCCTTGCATGTATTTGATATTCTAAATACATGCAAATAATCTAAAATATCTGTAAGACTGATCATTTTTATTTTCCTGTCATTTTCCCCTATGTTCTTTACAATGAATAATTTCTATTGATTTATCTTCAAGTTCATATATTCCTTCCTCTATCATGTACTTGGTTGGCAAGTACATTCAGTAATTATTTCCATTTGCTGAAATTCTATTTTTCAGTTGTAGGACTTCACTTTGATTTTTTTATTACTGTCACTAATAGAACCTCCTATTTTTTTCCTAACTTGTTCATGCACTGAAAACACTTGTTCTACTTCACTGAAGGGGGTCAAAACTTCACTTCATTAGACCGTCTTTTTAAAATCCTAATCTCTTCTAATATCTTTATGTTGGAATAGATTGACTTTCTTTTAACTTCAGATTGCATCTCACTGTTTTTGTTCTATGTACATTTCATAATGTTGAGTTATAATAATTTGATTCTGGACTTTGTTATCTTTCTCTCATAAATACTGATTCCTTTGTTTTTAGTATGCAATTTTCTTTGCTGGGCATAACTACACACTATCTCTTGTGTAACAGCCTTGTTCTCTGTTCAGAACTTTTTTCATTGACTAGGTTTGCAGTCCCCATAAACATGATCCATGGGTGAGTTAGGGAGAGGGGTAAACTGAATTTGAAGATCTCCTCTCTAGCTCTTTCCCTTCTCAGCTTCATTTCCTCTTTTCAGTGCTCTACTTTCTTTCTTGGCTCTACTTTTCTGGTTACCCAGTCCATAAAGACCACAGGCTTCCCATGTTTACCTCCACCTGTATGTCACAAGCTCTGCACTAAGCCCTGCACTAAAAATCATAGAGATAGAATTTATTTTTTATAAATTCCCCTTTCCCCAACCTGCACATTAACATGAACTACCCACTAGTGTCTATCTACTTCTTTTGCTTAATCTCCAGTATCTTCAAACAATTGGCTTTTTTTGGCATAACATCCAGAGTTTATGGTTGGTTTTTGCAAGGAAGGTCATCTTTGTAAGGTTTCTGTCATACCTGGAAATGGAAGTTAATTCATCACAGACTGTCTACAAAGAAACAGTTTTACTAATAAAAGGTAAACTTAAGTGAGACATACAAACTGTTGTCAAGTAAGATCTACTTGGATAAGATCTACCTAAGTAACTAGAACATTGATCCATGTGCCACTGTGTGCTGACTACTGTGTGAAAGTAAGCTATAAAATGGACTTTGCAAGAGAATGTGAATGGGAAAGATGAAGGAAAACATAACTCTAGAGGGGAAGAATGGGGACAAGGCAAGATAAAGCAATACTATCAGTAATATTATTACAATGGAATCCAATGGATTAGATACAAAATAGAGTATGGCGTGTTAGGTTATAGCCAGTTCAGTGAAGAACAGGAGTTTCTGGAAGAATTAGTATCAACAGAGGAATCCTTTAGACTAATGCACACACTGTTAGCCCTAAAATGACATTCTAGAAGCCAGAATCTCTGGGAAAAAGATACTTATTCTTCATCACGGAACATCCGTCTAAATTCACTCATACAAGTCCCTTTCTTCTGGGAAAGAAGCCAGTGCAACCATGGATTTGTTCTTCCCATAGTACCCATTATTTGATTCCCTTTTTCTTCCTACCACTTAAGGTTCAACAGCTAACAAGGCAACTTGGAGTATGTACGTATGCATATTTGTATTTATTTATTTATATGATTATGGAAACCTCTAGGAGTTCTAAGGGGCTTGAAAGGCTTATTCTATTAAGAAATTTAAAGCTGTATGTTCTGTTTTATATGTATACATATGCTTATTTGTGCTATTTATGTTATCTTGTTCCAAAGGGGGTTTAAAATAGCTCATTAAAAAGAATATAAACTTGGCAAGGTTTAAAAAAAAACTTTAAATGTACACAAATAGTAGAGTCTGAATTATAAGCTATTCTATATGAAGATGTGCATATTTTCAACATTCATATCATAGCTAATAGCAAGTATTACAAACTATAATTTACTTATAGAAAAAGTCTTAGTTGGGCACTGGTGACAAATGCCTGTAATCCTAGCTACTCAAGAGGCAGAGAGCAGGAGGATCACAGTTTGAAGTCAGCTGAGGCAAATAGTTCATGAGACCCCATCTCAAAAAAAATCATTACAAAAAAGGGCTGGTGGAGTGGCTCAAAGTGTAGGCCTTGAGTTCAAACCCCCGTACTGAAAAAAAAAAAAAAAGAAAAGAAAAAGTCTTTTTTTTTTAAGTGTAAATAAGAGGAACTGAAAATGCTACATTTACTCATACTCATATGCAAATTTTATATTAGCTCATGTAATATAAACTATTTCTACTAACACATGAGTAGAACAATGTTAAGGATAGAAATCCTTGTAACTAACAGTTAATTGCTTCAATATAATTAAATAGTTCTTACTGAGTCCAGCAGAATTGAAAGTGCTCTTAATATAACATATAAGGTTAATGTGTTCTTTAAAACATAACCAATCTTAAATAAAACTTGCAGTATATTTTACAATAAGCACCAAACTATACTTTGCCAACTTTCTCAGGTTCTAGTAAGGCCCACTGAAAACAAATCTGTGCTGTATACAATTAGATAGAAAGTCATATCTTGAATGCATGTTCCCAAAAGTTTAAAATGATTCTGTTTTAATGTATCTAAATCAATAATTTTGTCCAAAACTGTTCTGTGCAATATGGTAGTCATTAGTCACATGTGGCTATTTATCTCTAAAGATAAATTAACTAGAATTAGGTACAATTAAGAATTTAGTTACCAAATCACCTCAGTCACAATTCAAATGCTAAACAGCCAGTGGGCAGTGGAAATACGAACATTTCCATTTATTGCAAAATCACATGGAGGGCACTGGTCAAGAGGCATAGTCTGGAAGACACAGTAAGGCTCTTCTACAAAGCTGATAGACTCTGACACTTAGCTAATAGTCCAGAATGTCTTCCTCTGTTAGTATCTATTTACTGAACTTCTAAATTTAGAGACATGGTTAGTATACACTTTAAAGTAACAAATTCTGTGGCAATACTTTCTTTCTAAGGAACATTTTTCAGAAGGAACATAAGGAATTCAGACCCTACGTTAAAAAAAAAAAAAGATCATGTCTTCAATATATTTTGAACAAAGCAAGATATGAATATATTAAAACTTACATGTTTTTAAAAAGGAAATATACTATTAGAAAATTAGTATCACGATAGAATCCTCCTACTTAGCAGTACTGTCAGACATCTAGCCAAGCCACATAATAATTTCCAAACATGGGATGAGGTATTTGACTACACCATGATACACTCCATTAGGAGTAGAAAAAAGATAAACTTGGTAAGAGCTTTGGAAACACAAAAAAGTGGTAAAGGAAGCATTAATTCTCTAGAAGGTAGATGGTCTAGTTCAAAAATCTTCATGATTTTAATAAACATTTATTTGTATCTTCTGAATGTATTAGTAACAGCTAAGGTTTAGTCAATATTTAAAAGTCTCATTTATGGTGTACTAGTTATACACTAGGCCAGATTTAAACAAAGCAACTGAATGTTTTCCATTGGCAAAATATGTCAAAGGTAGAAACACAACTTTCATTTTTTCTGCCCCAAATTTGGGTAATATACAATATGTTTATCATATCAAAGCTTAAAATTAATATGTAAGTAAGGCAATTAGGCAGACAGATAACTGATATTAACAATTCCCCAAATAATATATATGTACAGAAAGACTGAAAACTTAAATTTATATTTTAAAAATAAATAAATTTTGAAAGAAAGAGATTTTTCCATCCACAGGTTGACTTACTGAATCATTCCGACCAAAAAAGGTATATATTGCATACAAGTAGTAATCAAATAGCTGAGATGTGAAGTGGATAACATCAAAGGCGATGGGCTTAAGAATGCTCATCATCTGCATGTACTTCCCTGCAAAGGAAAAATTAATAGAACAAAGTTAAATTCTGTTAGTCCAGAATTATAAAAAGATAAAAAAATATTAAAGTATTTCTTTAAAAATGGCTCTGACAGTGTGGCTTAAGAGGTAGAGTGCCTGCCTAGCAAGTGCAAAGCCCTGAGTTCAAACTCCAAAAATATAAACATATATGCATTTGTGTGCATATGTGTATACATATTTAAATAAAATGAACTACTGCATCGCACAGTCACACGAACCACGTTTTAAGTACTTAGCAGCTACTGCGTTAGACACAGAAGAGATTATGAAGAGGTCCAACACCTTGCAAAGTTCTGTTGGACAGCACTGATGAATGATTCCTGCTGCCAATAATGATATAATTATTACATGGCTTGTCTACTGACAGTTTTCTGTGTAACAAGAATGTTTTCCTCTCATTACAATTTACTGTTTGTTAGTTTTTATGGAGCTCCTAAACTTTTCTAGAAATGACATTATACAAACACAATATAGTCCCTCTGTTCTAGAAATTTAAAATAATTTCAAGAATGTTTAAGCATTGAACTACAGGTGTGGCTCAAGTGGTTGAGCATCTGCTTTGCAAGCACAAAGTCCTGTGTTCAAACCCCAGTCCCAGCAGAAAAAAAAAGAGAAGAAATGTTTAAGCATAATAAGGCAAAATATAACATATGTGAGAAAACATTTTTTTTTCATAAGCTTATAATCACATAGCAAAATTGCAAGAGAAAAGGACACAAGATTGGCCCTGTCCATTCCCTTGTGAAATCTTCTCAGAGGCCAAGAACACTTCTTCATAACTACATCACTCAGGAGCTCAATGCCCTCAAAAGGCCAAGAATATATACTCCTCATTCCTTCCTTTGGGAGATCCCAATATTCCCTTCTCTCCAGTATATGATGAGTCATAGAAAAAATAATTACAATTTTAAAAATATATTTAGTTAGTTTGATGAGGAACCTGGATTTTTTGTTTGTTTGTTTTTTGCACCACTGAGGTTTGAACTCAGGGTCTCATGCTTGCTAGACAGCTCTTACTTCTTGAATCACTCTACCAGTCCTCAAACATTTTATTTATAATCAAATATCTACAATCACAAACTTGCTAATGTATTTGAAGGATCCATGAGCGACTGAATCAAATACAACAACTGCAAGTCCCTTGTTCTGTTCTATTTTCTGTGGGAAACAATAGGGAAAGAAGCGTATCTACTAAACATGTTCTACACCTTGGCAGAAGTAAAATGTGAAAACAGACCACTTAATTAATTCCCAAATGAAGAGAGTACTAACTCCACTTCATGTAGCTCATAGCTATGTACTTTAAATAGACAGCACTGAAGATAGCACGACTCAAAAGGAAACACATGAATGAAGATGAAATGAAAAATTTACGCTAATGCAAATGTCTCAGTATCTGTCTTAATTTATGTGATGGACAATTCTAAGGAATAGTCGGATGGTCAGAAAGAAAAATACAAGCATATATCAAAATAAAGTAAAAATCATTCAATTCATTTTGTATTCTTACTCCTATTTACAAGTCTTTTGTTTAAAAACCATTTTTGTAATTACTTTATATATTCAGACATTATCTAAAAGTCAAATTTATAAAATATTTGAAAGATATGCTTCTAGAATATTTTGAATTATTGTGCTGATACTTCCTCAGCTACAAACATACAATTACTTAAACTGCAATGAGTTAGCATAAACAATGTGACACTGTGAAGAAAAAAGTGGAAAAATATTAATCATTTGAAGAAAAACAGAGATGATTAAGCAGATTGCAAATAACTGGGTTGATACATACCCAGAATACACAACACTTTCTGACAAAATTAATCACTTCTTATATAATCTTGAAAAAAGACACAAAAATGAATTATTAATAGGTAAAGGCTATTTTTATATGTGTATTCAAAAAGAAAAACAACTCATTTTTCATCACCACTCTGAAAAAAATTAAATGTAATGATATTCATTCATTCATTTAACAAAAACTTTGAAGACTTTACTATGAATCTGGTGTCCTTGTGCTAAGGCACAAGGAACCAAGAGTCCCTGCTCCAGTACCCTGACCTTGTAAAGTTCTGACAGCACTGATGAATGATTCCTGCCACCAATAATGATATAATTATTACATGGCTTGTCTACTGATAGTTTTCTGTGTAATAATAATGTTTTCCTGTCATTGCAATTTACTGTTTGTTAGTTTTTATGGAGCTCCTAAACTTTCCTAGAAGAAAAGTTTACTGGAAGATAACGATGAATCAGAGGAGCATTGCAGAGCATAAACTTGAGGATTCTGGCTTGCAAGTTCAAGAGGACCAAATGGGTAGAGAGCAGGCCTATTAATGTTATATCCAACTCCCCTGAATCTCCAGAATCATTTTCTTATGACCTTCACTAGATTGTGCTCCTTGGATTATCCTCTCAAAATATAATGTTCAATGTATAGCAACCAAGTCCAAAAATATTTTAAGGCTGTCTTAAAATGTAAATTTATAAATTATAGCATCATATACTATCTTATTAATAACACTATCAATAATATATTAATATTAAAATGTAATATAAAGTAAGATTTTTCCTTAAATAATACTATGAAATATTACATATGAAAATATTATTTTATAAAATAATTTTAAGCATGCTAGGCACCAGTGGCTCACTCCTATACTCTTAGCTACTGAGGAGGCAGAGATCAGGAGGACTGCAGTTTGAAGCCAGCATGGGCAAATAGTTCATTAGACCCTCTCTCAAAAAAAAAAAACCCATCACAAAAAAGGACTGGTGAAGTAGTTCAAGGTGTAGGACTTGAATTCAAACTCCAGTACCACAAATAATAGCATGCCAGGTGCCAGGGGTTCACGCCTGTAATCCTAGCTACTTGGGAAGGTGAGATCTGGAGGATTGTGGTTCAAGGCCAGCCTGGGCAAATAGTTCGTGAGCCCCCATTTCTAAAATAACCAGAGAAAAATGGATTGGAGGTGTGGCTCAAGTGGTAGAAGGCCTGCTTTGCAAGCAATAAGGCCTGAGTGCAAACCCCAGTCCTAACAGCAAAAATAAATAATAAAAATAAAATAATTTTAATCATAAAACAAAAATTATTGTAATACTTAAGATTACACTTATGATTTCACTGACTTCTGTAAATAGATCCAAATATCTGAAATAAATTTATTTTGAAAACAACTGATGTAATTACTTGTATTCGTTTTTTTTTTTTTAAAGAAACTATTATTTAAATTATCTATTAAACAACCAGGAATTTTCCTGTTACTTAAGCACACATTGTTTTACATTTTAATTAGAAAAATATAGAAAGGAAGCTATGATTTTCAGTTTGGTCCCTGGGCCAGCTGCACCAATGTCATTTGGAAGCATGTTAAAATGCACATTCTCAGGTTACATCCCAGACCTATCCAATTGGAGGCTCTGGAGAAGGGATACAACTTTCTGTGTTTTGCCAAGTCCTCTAGTGATTCTTATGCATGCCAAAAATTGAGAATCAATGGCTTAGCTCATCAAAAAGATAGTGATAAGGGTCATGAAATCTTACTCCTCCTAAATTTTCTCTCGCCTCTCTACCATTTATTCAGGACCTCCTTCACTGGCTTCTCTTGCTATCTCTTGCTGTCTATCTAATATATCCATATCTATTGTTGTTCCCTAGGTTTCTATGCTCAGCTATCTCCTCAGATGTTTATACGTACTATTGTGGAGGGGAGGGGAAGGAGGAAGAAGTGTTAGAGCTTCCACCTGATTCTCTATGAACCCGAAAGGTTAAAAATCACTGCCAAAAGAAACGCATCCACTAACATGGCTTTAATATATTTTATACTAATGACTCAAATTATGTGCTCTGAAGTGATTTTTCTCCTGAACCACTGATCAAACTACCTACAGACTATTTCTACTTAAATGTCTCATGTACCTCTACATGACTCAATAGTTTCCCAAACTAGGTCATCCTGTCATCTTTCTTTTTCATTTGTGGCATTATAATTGGTAAGTGTGCAAACTTAAAATGTAAGAGTGATTCCTCATAACTAATTCACCAATCTTGTCCTATAGTTCTAAAATCTCTCAAATCGCCCTTCTTCCATTACAACAACCATTGTGTCATATAGGCTAAAGTCTTGTCATGTCTTGACTTCAATAGCCTGGCATCTTGTCTTTGACCTTCCCTAGTTTTCCCTTACCACTAGTTAATCCACTATATACAACTATATCTAGAGTACACTGCTTGAGATTGTTGTTTAAAACCCTTAGCCTTTATGGAGCTCGCATCTGAGCTCAAGAAGGTTCTATATCTGTGAAATCCAGTTCTTGCCCATCTTTCTTGCCACATCTTCCCTGCTTCTGCCTCCTGCCTCCCTTCCTGCTTTACACATACATGCAAACTAAATGGCTGTGTTCTCTGAATACACAATGTCTTATACATGCTATTCTTTCAATGCAGAATGGCTTTAACAACTTTTTCATCTATAAGAATTTATTCACCTTTCAAAGTCAGCTAGGGTGAACACCCCCCACCTCTATGAGCCAGTACTGTAACTTGCTATGCAAAAGAGAAAATTAATCATTCTTTCTCCCTGTCTCTTTTTTGCTTATTTATGTTTACAATACCACATTGTTATTTTTTTTCTTTGGTATTGGGCTCCTTAAATACAAAGTCTATGTTCTCTTCCGCTGGCAGAGTGCAGCTCAAAAAAAAAAAAAGTAAAACATACAATTTCCATATTATAGAAAAATAATTAATAGATATGAATTAGTTCACAAATAAATAGAAATGTCTTTTAAGATCTGAAAAATACTTAAGCTCAATTGTTCAATACATATTTAAACGAGATGCCATTTTTAACCTATCAGACAAGCAAGCATCCCATGAAGTAATAAAAAAGAGCCAGATAAGGAATAGTATATTCAGTGACCTAATTTTTAAAATGAAAACAAAAAAATCGAGAGTGAGGAAATACATGTATTAAACATACTTGTAAAGGCATACTAATATTTCTAAAAGCAAACAGAAGAAATTGTTTTCTCTAAGGAAGGAGATTTGGACCTCAGAGGCTCTATTTATGCTTTAGGGTATTTTAATTTTTAACCATTTCCATACATTATCTTTCAACTTAAAAAACTCAGTGATAAACATATTACAGGTTCATTTTTATGTGCTGATGTATATTCTAGCATCTATGTTTTCTCAGCTACCAAAGCAATACTCACATTGTTGTAAACTGTGTAGCTGTTCATTACAAGTTTGGCCTTTGGCAACTGAGCACCAGTCCCTCGTGCCTATCAAATGTGCTCCAGAGCCTCCAGGACAGAGAACCCTGAATACCAAAATTATTTCTACGATGAGACAGACATATCCCCTAAAATTTCTCTGCCTTTACCTGGAAGAACCCATGACTTTTTCCTTACACATCATTCTGAGTAGTCCTCTGCACTAATGCGAAGTTTCACTGAGCCTCCTAAGTGTACAGGTACAACCCAGGGCTGGAAGCCCCATTAACATTTTTATTTAACCTGTCCTAATTATCTCTCAAAGCAAATACTACCTGAAAGAGATGTTTCATATATGCTTTGGATGTTTTAAAATATATTTCTCAACTACTCAATCACTCATTCCTTCTTGCTCCCGGACATCAAAAAATAAGCTATTTTATTTATATAACTGAGCCACTTCCTCACAAAGGGAGAAGACATTGCCTTTGTCAGTTTAGAATCTTCATACTCCTCAGTGCAGTAACAGAGGATGGAATAGAGTATTCACTAGTTGGGGATCCCTGAGTGGATGGTTCCTTTCAAATTCTGTCTTATGAATATGTACAAGCAGAGGAAAAAGACATCAAATGTCTACATGGGGGACAGGAGATAACAGCATGACCTCATCCCCCCCCCCAAATGAGAAGACAAGAGAGTTAAATGATCATACTCAGCACTGCTTCCTATTGCAACTCTAGTGAAGGATATGGCAACGGAGAAGGCCCTTCATTCAGTAAGGTTTTTGCAGCCTACTTTATACAAAGGCTCATAAGAATGTGGCACTTCTCAGTTTCTACAAATCCACTGTTAAAAAGCAATGGCCACTCTGTTAATCAGTAATCCTTACATGAGAATTTTTTGACATTATCTTTTGAATTTAGCATCAGGAGCACATTTCTACCATTATTATAGAATAATGCAAAAATGCTTTCCTATAATAAGAATAGCAAGACACATTATTACTTAAAATCTTTATGCCTACCAATAAGTTAGAGTTACATTTGATGCTAGCATTTCATGATATCCTCCCTCCTCCATTTGTTTTAGCCTTGTATTTTGTTTGATTTGACTCAATGAATGCATGCCTTTTCAGAGTAAAAAACACCTTGACTACTTCTATTCCCTTTTGAACTGGCTAAGATTAAAAAAAAAAAAAAAAGCCACTTACATGTGTGGCTGGTTGCATTATTCTCTCCAGTTATCTATTCTGCCCATCCTCTGTGAATGCATTACACAGCCCTGTCCACCTCTCTTGACTTGCAGTGCTTCTTCATATAAAAGCACATGCCCCTGTGGTTGAAAGTCACTAATATGTCAGCATTGTTTATTGCTTCAACATAATCAGCAAAACCAAACTACATCTCAACTAGTGTGTTCAGACACCTAAAACTACCAAGTCTAACCTAGACTAAGGAGGATGGCAAGGATTCTGAAAGGTTTAGAAATTCTATCAATGAGTACCAGATAAGAGGATTTTGTACACTGAGTCTAGAAAATGGATTGAAGTAGAAGTATGAGGGAGGAAAGGACAGGGTAACTACATCACATGCCTAAAAAGCAACCACGTAGAAGAACAGGAAGAAAAACACTACAGATTTACTCTTTTCCTTTAAAGAACAAAACTAAGTCCAGTAAACACAATTAGTAAGAGCAATGACATCAGCCTAATAGTAGAACAAGCAGTCTTGCAAAATAACATACTTAGAGTGACTGTGACTCATGAAACAAAAGCTTGGTGGCACCACATATTACTGACTTTATGGGAAGAAAACCTCTTTTTTGTGGGGACTTATACCAAATGACCTCTCAGTACCCTTCCAATTCTAATTCTGCAAACTCTAGTAGGTTATTCATGATCCCGCTCAGTTAGCTCTCTTGTATAAAAGAAGGAAAGCTAATTATCCTGACAAAGCCACAGAACAGCTTTTTAGAATTTTTCATTTTCCTGTGTGGCATGAAAATTTATACCTTTTCTTCACAATTCATTATTATTTTTCTATATTTTCTTTAAAGAAAGTAGGACTAAAGCATTCTGTACATTTTATCCTATTCGTTAATGAAATTTAGAAATTATCTTGAACACAGACCATTTCATTAGAGCTAAGATTAATCAACCAAAGTAGTAGGTAAATATCTTCACAAACAGAATGAAGAGAATTTTACAGAAAGCCACTAAAATCCCTGATTGTTATAGATGATGATGTGAGAAACAACTCTTTGTCATATGTATAGACCTATTTGTGAAGGATGAAGGCTGAGAACAAATACAATGCTGAAATACTGACATTAAAAATCTACATGGTCCTCAAACTTGCATATTCAAAATGGCATTTCTTTGTTTGCCTTCTATAAAATCATTAGTAAGGGTCTTACCTGTAATAAGAACACTTCCTATTTTCTGAACATTTAGTTTACAAAAAAACTCTTGTGTATAAAAACATGACTCTGCATATACGACAAGATCGTTGTGAAGCTCTATGAAGCAATTAGGTGGAAAAATACCATGAATGTGAAACTGGTACTACAATTGTCATACACATACTCTAACTCAACTAGAGAATTTTCACTGCATTTCAATTAATCGAAATATTTTAGAAAAATTAAGAGGATGCAAAGACTTAATAGGCAATTAATTGAAAAAGTGAAACTGACATTAATATCAGAATCCTACTATTTGGAATATTTACAATGAAAAGTGTTAACATATAACATTCTTAAATCCCTACTTCAGGGGACACTGATTACCATACAAAGAAAACTTCAGGTAAAAACCATTCAGTGACAAAAGTAAACTTTAACCACTGAAATATTTTTGTATAAAAAGATTTGACTACTTACCAACAAGTCTTATTACATTCAATGTTGTATTTGTTAAGATAGGTGCATTCACTTTATTTAGACTGTAGTCTGATTTCTTCCTGCTTTTTAGGGTTTCTCGGGAAACACTTCATAGGGAAAAACAAGAGAGCTGCAATTAGAGTTGCCAAGTAATTAAGTTACTCAGTTTAGCATCTGGCTCTCATTCACTATTTATTGAAAATTGGCAAACTTTTAAAAAACAGATTTTCTAGGGAAATTATTATACATCTAAGTTACAAATGTACCAAGTTTCCTAATTTCAGAAACTTATGAAAATAGTACCCTTCTGAGAATCTAAATAAAATATGAGATATAATGGCAGAGTCTGGGGTTGAGGGGTAGTGCCAGAATCAAAGGAAAAGCAGAAGTTATGTAAGTGCAGGGAAAAGGGGAAAGCAGGTAATTGTGTCAGAGGTTGAGAGAACAAAGTACAATGAGAGAAGGACAAGGTTTTCACTATGCGGGCATGAAGACTAAGTGAGCAGAGAAAATAGTGACAGGAAAGAGGTAAGTGAAGACCAGATCACTGAAAGCAATCAAACCTAAGGAGTATGAGCTTTATCTTGAATGAGGTGATAAGACAATAAAAACTACACCCAGGAAAATGGCATGATTAAATATGTATCTAAGAAAAACATCTAAATTTATATCTAAGAACGGATTGGAAGGGGGCAAGACTGAAGACAAGAAGCCAAGGTAAGAAGGATGATTTAATAATGTAGCACAGAGACCAGGCGTGATGGCTCTTATCTGTAATCTAGCTACTTGGGAGACAGAGAGCAAGAGGCTCACAGTTCAAGGCTAAGCCCATGCAAAAATCAAGTGAGACCCCATGTTAATTAATAACTGGGCATGGTGGTGTATACCTGTCATCCCAGCTATCCAGGAAGCACAAATATGAGATCACAGTCCAGGCTGGTCTGGGGAGAAACGCAAGACTCTACACCAAAAAATAACTAAAGCAAAAAGGGCTAGGGGCAGGGTTCAAGTGGTACAGCTGCTGCCTAGTGAGTATGAGTTCACTCCCAGTACCACCAAAAATAAATAAATAAATATTTTTTTGAAATCTGGCACAGTGATAATGTTGGTAGGATGGTTACCACATCTAACACAAAGAAAACTGGTATCTTCAAGGGACACTGCAAAATTAGAATTGATAGCAGTTATCAGTTGATTCTGTTAGTAATTCACATAATTCCTCTTCTTAGGGGAGATTAGAGGGTTTAGGAGGCTGTATTAACCTAATGTGTATATTAGCTACCCCTCTCTTATTCGTTCACTTCATTCAATTGAAATAGACCATTCCTTTTTGCCAAAATATGCCCAAAACATAACTTATGAAGAAGTCCAGCAAAACAGTTCTAATCTTACATATGTAAAAAACAATAAAAACGAAATTTTCCAATTAATATACTCAAAACTATACAAACTGCTTGCTTTAAGGAGATAATTATTTCAGTTAGGGTTTTAAGTTAATTATTAATTAAATATTAATTACAATAATTAAAATTAATTTAAAATTAATTAAATATTAATTTTAAAAGTGTGTGCTGTCATTTTTAAAAAGCATATTTGTGGCCACTAAATGTCTGACAGTAATTCATTTAAACACATCAGAATCAGGCCCACTTAATTGGAGATGGTAGCAAATTCTATTAAAATTATAATGCTGAAGAGGATAGTTCATAAAACTCAACCACTAACAGGAATCCTTAGTAGAAGGTTCAAATATAAAACCCAAAAGATGCTTGGAAAGTAAGTGGGGATTTGCTGAATTTACTAGATTGAGGTAAAAACTGTTGATCTCTTAAATTAAAAGCTCTTTGATTATGCCATTTTCACCAGATAAATTTTTAAAAATATTTTTTAAAAGATTAACTTGTAACACTACTTGAAAAAAGGAATTAGAATCTTGCTGCAAAAAACAATGTCAAACAAGCTGTACAAAAGAAAAGCTACTTTAAAACCACTTTTTTAGCCATTAAATCAACTGATGTGAGTTTTTTGATACAATAACACGCAAACTCACAGTCAAACGAACTGATTTGTGAAATGTCAGAAGTAGAACTTTTCATATATATTTTTTATTTTTCCTGAAAATTCACTGTTATGGACTATAAGGGAAAGCCTACATTTTCAGTCTCCCTAGAATCATTTTTTTTAAACACATTAACTTCTGTCATATGATATGTTGTAACTACAAAAATTTTTAATTTTTGATTTTTCATAACCTTCAAAGGAAGTCCTAAAATATGTTATGAGCACAATCCAAAATCAAAAAAAAAAAAAAAACATGCAGAGTAAGAACAAGCACCTTTTCACTGGAGCATCACCTGTCTGCTCGTCCACGTAATCCTGCTTGAGCTCTTCAGGGACATCACTGTCACTGTCATATTCCTGGTAGGCACTCTTCTCTTGTTCATCAGATTCATACTGGAGAGAACACAGCAGGAGATTCAAAAATGGGAATAAGGAGCCACCTTTACTGTAGTCTTTAACAGAATAATAGTGCCCAACTGCATGGGAAGCAATTAAGTATAGGAAAATTCTTAATAAGGAAGTTTTAATTTTGCAACAAAGAATCATATTATCCATCCATTTTATTCAACATCATAATTTAACCAGCTCAAAAGAAAAGAAAAAGAAAAATGCCACCAAGAAGAGATTGAATATCCAATCTGGCACACTGGAAGTATTAATTCAGCTTAATAAATACATACCACATATGCAATTCTCTACTTCATTATGAGAACATTTAGCTGCAAGAACAGCTTAGAAAATTATGCACAGCACCCAGAGCCAAAAGTAACAAAAACAGGTAGGCTATTATACTGCTGTTGTTCATGGTTCAATGCTAATGAATCAACAGCATATATTAAATAAGTTGTCGTTAACAGAAGCATACATAAAACAAAGTTATATAAAGATGGGTTGATGAATACTTGTGACCCGAGCGTCACAGGAACCTAATCCTATCTTCTCCAAGAGCAATAGTTCAGTATTTGCTAACTGAGTGTTCACAGCAACTTAATAGAATACAACTCCTGCAAATAATAAGCATTGAATACTATGTGAGTTTTGGTTTGTTTTTTTTTGTGGTGGGTTGAACTGGGATTTGAACTCAGAGTCTCATGCTTGCAAAGCAGGCACTTACCACTTGAGGCACACCTCTATTCCATTTTAGTCTGTTTATTTTGGATATGGGGCGGGGGAATCTCACAAACTCTGCCCAGGTTGGCCTCGAGCCCTGATCCTCTTGACCTCAGTCTCCCAAGTAGCTAGGATTTAAAGACATAAGGCACTAGTGCCAGCTACTATGTGAGTTTTAATTAACAAATCACTATTATAGAAGAATAATATTACTTCAATATAATTGGATTGACTTTTAATTCATCTCATTTTAGTCTATACTTCACAGAGGCAAAATGTCACAAAGAATCACTCACCTATAATTTTAAATATGGTTTACTATGAAATAATTTAAAGTTCATGATAAACTATAATAAGAGTATATTTTCTGGTAGTGCTTTTAAAATATGTCTTCAGTTCAAAAAAAAGGAAATTTCAAAACTAAAATAGACAAATTCTCTTTGACATCATCACAACTAAAATAAAAATGATAATAGAAGCTGGGCATGGTGGCCATGTGCCAATAACTTCAACAACCTGGGAGGCAGAAGATCATGAGTTTGAGGCCAGCCTGGGCAAAGTTAGCCAGACTCTATCCCAAAAACAAAAGACAAAGGTCTGGGTGCACAGTCAAGTAGTAGAACGCTTGCCCTAATACATAGAAATGTAGGGTTTGATGCAAAACACTGCAAAAAAAAAGGAAAATATGTGGGTTCCTCTAGAAATGATTGTAGATCAGAAGGTCAGAAAGGTGCATCAAACAGCATCCTAGACCAAATGAAATGGTTTGAAAACACCCTGAAAAGAACTATGAAGAAAGTATTCCCCATCCCCCTCATTATAAATTAGGGAAATTCAAAGTCACAACCTTAAAATAATTTGCCACAGGCCACACAGCTAATAAAGGTGATATTTATTACCTGCATACAAAACCTTCATACTAATTAAACACTACCTCTAGTTAATATTGCTTGTGAGCTGCTCAAAGTATTGTTAACATACCATACTTCTAATCCTAAAAACATCGCTGTCAAGCAACCAAGGAACTCATTACTCTCTCTCAGATAAAAGACATGGAATAGAATGACTAACGTCATTACCCAGAATGGAGTTGAGGAACAAGTACAGCCATCGATTTGTACAGTAAGTCACACAAATATTCACTGAAGAAACTATACTACTACTCAGATTAGTAATCCAGTAAGAAAAAGCAATCATAAAGGCAAAATTTATAGCATACTATGAAGTCACTATCTATGGAAGTAATCTTGTAGTAAGTATGTAGATAGGAAGGTAGACAGGAGATGGATAAATAAATCAAGCAAACTACCTTGTTCACTGGATAGAACACTTTCAAACAAAGAAATCCCACTTCTGTTTCACTGAGTTTTAAAAGCACCACATACCCCATTGGAAGCCAAAACATCTTCTGTTTCTTCATCTTTGTGGTTGGCCTGAATCTCAAATGGATTCCCACCACTACAGTACTGTTCAAACAATGTCACTGTTTTTGAAGAAGATGACATTGGCTGCTTACTAGGAGAAACTGATGGGGACCGAGATTGTTCCATGAATTTAAACTCCTAGACATTAAAAAAGCCAAAAAAATTTTAGGAACAATCATAAAATTCAAGTACATAAGCATCAGTGTAGAGTTAGAAAAAAGTCATGACCTTCAGGTTATTTGCTTCTAAATATTACAAGTTGTGTGAAATCACAATCTTGGACATTCATGTTTAAAAATTTTCATAAGGACCATTCAGTTAATGGTATACTTAAGTCAGTGTTGTCTCCATTAAGCTATTTTTGGTTTATTTTAAGAAACTACACAGAAAAACTTTGAAAATAACATGAAATTTGAATAATATCTGCTAAAAATTTTAATAGAGCAGCAAATGTCCTAGCAAAATACAATTTTAACACATAAAATAATTTATGAAAATAATTGTTTGGCCTCAATGCCCCAAGTTCAAACCCCAGTATCATCAAAAAGAACTGGAATGTTCAGTTAAGCATATGTTTGCATCATTTAAGATATTCTATACAAATCTATCAAATACAAAGAATGAAATATATCTTTTCTGTTTTACCTCTGTCTATAAGCTTTCATTTCATTTTCTTCAAATGCACATACCAGGCTAGATCATTTGTTTTTTACTCCTAGCTTGCTTTTAACCCATCACATTCCATTAATTCCTTATATAGTATTGTTAAAGTCTCCTCGCTTTTCCATGCTTCAATAATTACCTCATCTATAAAATGAGAGGACCTAACTAGATCGGGAGAATCCAAATGCTAGAACTAAAGAGCTGTAACAGTTGCTCCAAATCATGCATTACCCACATGAGTCAGGGCCAAGTTCAAAATTACACATCAAATTAGAGAAATAGTCGAAAAACCTCAAAATTACAAAATTCTGTGATATCACAAAAATTAATATTTTTCTATATTTAAAAATATTAATCCCAAACTGAAATGGTTTTCATAAACAATAATATTCTTCAAAGCTCCAATGATATTAGTAAAAGATATTCTTAAAGGGTACATTGGGTTGTTAAGTTTTACATGATATAGGTATGCATTTTCTTTTTTAATTTCAACCACACATTAAATCAGATCCATCATAATAGCTAAGAATCATGCAATTATTTTTATAATTATAGACTAGGGGTTAATGTGAATTAATGAGACAATTAAAAAATTAAATCCACCAGAATACATGTGTCAAGTGAACAATGGGTTGCAAACAGTTTTATAGGTAATTTCTTTGAAGGAAATGTCCAACTAAGTTGAAACTAATGTTTCAACACACTTCTTTTTAAAAGCTGTCTTATACTTATACCAAGTATGTGTACAAACATGCACAAATTTAATGGTTAAATAAAATCATTTAAATAGATATTCTAAAATTAATGTTAAACTTACAATACTAAATAAGGAATTATCTTAATTATTTGAGAATTTAAAGATTCTATGCAAATTTAATGTTAATTAAATTAATGTTAATTAAAATTAATGCTAATTTTGTTTGAGAATTTACTAATCAACATGTTGCAGTGTTTCTAATATTTCCATATTAAGAAAGTAATATGATAGAACTAGATAAAAATTACTATAAAATTTGAACATTATGACTATTGTCCTATCAAAATAACTTCTCCTGGCATATTATTTAAATTTATCCAGATTAAGAAAATTGCTTCTAGAAAGTCACTCTTTCCAAAAGCAAAACCTAAACACACTGTTCTTTCAAAACATGGATCTAAGGCCATGCATTGCATTTTGACATTTGGTATTTTAGAATGCAATCCTTCGCACAGGAATATTTACCTACAATGTGTTTCAATCAAAGGAAATATCAAGCCAATTAAAAGACTTTTTCATAGATTACTTACTCTATAAAGATCCAAGTAATCCTATTAATCAATAATTAGTTAAGAGTATTTTTTAAAGTGCCTCTTTTATTTCTGAGGCATTTTCTCATGATAGGCAAACAAGTAAGTATTGAAAGTAACCATTTTTATTTAATGGTATCAAAATACAATTAATTTCTGAAAAATGTAAATATAGAAGTAGACATGTTCTGAATTCAAAAGAAAAAAATCATTTTTAACCATAACTTTTTGGGCTGAAGCATGTAAACTGAATTTTGAAAATACAGATTTTTCACCACCATAAAGATCCTTCTCTCACAAGAGGCTTGATATTAATGGTTTAAGGAAGGAAGATGCTACATTGTTCTTTAATCTGTTTTATAAATGCTCACACATCTGGGGGTTTATTTATATAAAAATTAAAAATTTCATGATGACAAAACAGACTACTTTGATCTTAAGAAAAACTTACATGAAGTTGCAATATGCTGAAATTTGACTTAACAGGACAAAGTTCCCAAGTCTCATTCTCTAAGAACATTCTCAGTTCATCAAGCCGTGTTCTTGAAAAAAGAAAATGAACATTCCACAAGTAAGAGGAAAAGCACACTGCTCACAAGAATTGACAAAACAAAGTACAATATAATTACAGATTATCATTATAAACATAAGCAACTCTGAGAGCCCACTTAGATTAACACTGCAAATAAATGTTTCGTTTTACTCATTAATATCTTGTAATCCTTAAGAGAAAACTATTAAATGTTTATTAAGCTGAATATATTTTTACTATATTGCAAAAATAATAAATGTGTAAGATATGGCATTTTTATTGAGGAACTAAATTAAAAGCTTGTACTCATGTACTTAAAAAATACTTGGCTAATCATGTATCAATGCCAAAAATACGAAGAAATAAATTACAGCTTCTATGAGATCATAAATACCAATACATGCTTTATGCTAAATACCACAGATTGTAACTATATTTACTAAGCCACAATATCAAATAATTATCACTCTCCAAAGATCTCTAGCGCAATGACTATTTGCACAAAGCATCTACAAATTAAATGAGTAGTATGGCATGTCTTAACCGAACAATCACACTGATTTCTCCTTTCTTTAAGGCTACTGCTCTATCTATCCTGAGTAACTGGCACATAAATAGGGAATCCCAGAAAAACAAATCCTTACTTCTAGCAGAGCAATGGCTAGTGCCTCCTATTTTTCTCCTTCTTACCATAAGTTGTTACTACCATACTAAAAATAAGATATAGACTTTTTTTTTAAAGTCCACAGACTCTAATGTAAATAGATGTGTATAAAAAATAGGAACTATCCAACATGTTTGGATAATCAGGCCAGGGCTTTAAGATTATTATAAGTTATAAAATAAAGACAAATGTACAAAATGAATAAAAAATAATTTTAAAAACTCACATAAATAACAAACAAGAGAATCAAAAATCATTCCAGAATATTATACTGAAAAATATAATAACTCTGACTAAAAACTGATTAGATAAGTAAAACAGACCAGAAGTACCAGAAAACAGGATTAGTAAACTTGAAAACTGGTAACAAAAACAGCCAACTAAAGCACAACTGCAAATAAAATAGAAGAAATAGAAAAGACAGTGAGACAGTCAAAACAGCTGGTATGCATGCAATGCAAGGCGAGGACAGAATGAGTAAGCAGAAACAGGATTTGGAGAAGGACTGGATGAGAATTCACAAAAGTGATTGTATCCATGTCTAACTCCATAGACAATAATTAAATAAAAATTTACAACTCAATAATAACAGCCAGTGCATATGATAACTTCTTTAGTCATTAGGGAAATGCAAATCCAAACCATAATAAGATACTACTCATACCTACCAGAATAACTATAATCAAAAAGACAGAAAATAAATACTGACAAGATTTTGGAGAAATTGGAACCCTAATACACTACTAGTGGGAAGGTAAAATGGTGTAAGTACTTTGGAAAATAGTTTGGTAGCTCCTCAAAATGTTGAACACAGTTACTGTAGAATCCAGCAATTCTACTCGGTATGAGTTTTCTAAAACAAGTTACAACAAACTGAGTAATTAAAACAAGAGCAATTTATTCTCACACAGTTCTGGAGGCCAGAAGTCCAAAATCAGGAGTGAAAGCACAGTGTTGGGAGGGCAGCACTGTACCAGAGGTTAGAGCCTTTCCTGGCTGTTGGCAGTCACTGGCATTCCTAGGCCTGGAGCCACAACACCCGTCTCTGTCTCTGGTATTCACATTGTCTTCTCCTCTGTGTGTGAACAGCTCTTCATCCATGTTTGTGTAAAATCTCACTTCTTTCTCTTATTTGTGATGGTATTTAGAGCACACCCAGATAACCGAAGATTTCATCACAAAAATAATGTTTTTGTATGCTGGTTATGGAACCCAGGGCCTTGCACATGTTAAGACACATGCTCTGCCACTAAGCAATACCCTCAGCTCTTCCTCATAAAATTCTTAACACAATCATACCTTCAGATACTTTTTTTGAAGTAAGTTAACATTTACCATTCCTAGATATTTAAACCTGGTATTTGTTGTGCATGTGCTAAGAGGAAAAAAAAAAAAAGAAGGCCATTATTTTTTCAACCTACTTTGATAGAATTAAAAAAAAGAAAAGAAGAAGCCTTTCACAGGCAGGAACAGAAGTTTTCTCCCTAAAAAAGATAATTCTCCCATCATCTCAACCAATGTACTTTTAGGGTCTTTGAAAGCATTTTATAAACTTTGATTATTATAGTAATTACAAGATCAAACATACTTGTTATTAATTAGAGTGTTTGACAATTATACATGGCTATATAATTTTTATGTCATTGTTGTTCAAATTAGGAGATCTGTGCTTTTGGAAATTTTGCATCTCCTAGCAAAAGAATGATAATGTTGACTATATACAAATCATGAGTGCACAAACATAAAGAAATTTGGGGGGAATAAAATTTATAATTTTAAAAGTTAAAAATTTGCAATGAAAGAAACCTCACACACTCATATAATTTTGCCTAGAAAAAGATAATGTCATGCCAACTTTAATACAGATAACACAAATATAATTCCTAAATAGGTGATGGTCCTCAAAGAGTAAAATGCTTCTATTTTCACCTTTTTATCATGACTAGATCTTCATACTAAGAGTCTAAATGGACTCAAAGTAAGAATAATTTGGTTCAAGGACTTCTTCAACCTCTCAAGAGCTATATTTGGCAGGAGAGGACTATGGAACAAGTTATACATACATTTATTAAGAAAATAAAAACACATTTGATCTATTTCATATTTTTCAGTATTTATATATAAAGGGATATTAAATTGGGATTTAATAGATTTAGAATCATCAGGGGCTAATGTAATTTTAGTCAATTCAACAGATATACAATGATATCAATTCAAATTGCCTATTGAATTAATCTTGCTTTATAAAGAAACAAATATATTTCAGAACACATTGATGGTGGTGGGCACCAACTTTATGAAGTGACTTTCATTATAGTTTTCTAAATGGTAACTGTTAGTGGAATGATTATAGCCAGTATACAAGAAACACTGTTTAAACATTGGGGAAAGAGGATACGAAACAGTAATTAACTATCTGCTTTTTAACTTAATCTTTATATTATACAGTGCAGGGAGAAAAAGGGGTAAGGTGTGCAGGCAACAATTATATAGACCTCTTAAGACAGGTACCTCCATTTACAATGATAGAACTATAGCCCAGAGAAGTTTAACTGTTTGCCTGAAGCAGGGTACCAGTGGCTCACACCTGTAATCCTAGCTACTCAAGAGGCAGAGATCAGGAGGATAGCATTTCAAAGCCAGCCCAGGAAAACAGTTGGCGAGACCCTATCTCGAAAAGCCCTATCACAAAATAATTGGGCTAGTGGAGTGACTTGAGGTAAAGGCCCTGAGTTTAAGCCCCAGTACCAAAAAAAAAAGTTTTTGACTGATACCAGAGAGCTGGCACATAACACAAAGTGGTACAAGAAACCAAATCTACCTTCTCTACATCTAGTTCTTCTAATAATCAGTACAGACTCATCAATGAAAAACAAGGTTCACAAAATGTTTCTAAGAAAAGTTCTTTAAAAGCATCTTCAGTTTTATTCATATTTTTTTTTTAATTTTAAAAATTCTCTGTTCAATTTTAAAATTCAAAGGCTCTGCTTTGGTATAAGCTCAACTTAAATCTTTTAAAATAATTTACTTAATAGCTTACAATTAGGATAGAAAACTTGTATATAATATACTTAGTGACTAATTAATCAATAATTTGATGTCCAATAATCTCTCTACCAACTTGCCACATTATTACTGTGAGCAGGTATTGACTGTGAACAAGGACAGAAACCAGAATCTCAAATCCTCACTCTCTCAGGCACCAAATAATAGTAACAAAATCAAAACTTAGCTGTAAAAAGTAAAGGTTCTGAATAAAAAGTAAGATATAACTCAATTCAAATGACACAGTTTAGGATCTGGCTCATATCAAGAAAGGTCTAACCAATCTTAATTCTCGCTTCTCCCAACTTAACACTGATTCAAGCTATCATTCTGCTGTGTGAGCATTCTTTTCCATCTTCATCCACTCCCCAAACTATTCCTAATCATCCTTTTTAAAATTAGCAGTGATGGCTCTGCAATGCAACAGAGCACACAATCTTGACTTTGTAGCCAGATTCTGAGTATCACACTCTCTATTCTAGCAGCCTTGTTACTCCTAAAAGACAGATGCTCTCAAGCACCCCTCTGCTGATTTAACTTCCTTTACTATTCACACCATAAACATGCAGGCATGAATAGTGGCCAAATTCTCTCAGTGAACCCTGGTATAATGATCATTTTTAACTCTAAGAAAATCAGTTCAATACTTAGCTCAACATTTGAGCCTCCCAAGACAGGAATATGCTAAGATTTTCAATGAATACAAATGAGAAAATTTTATCATATTTTTGATGAAACATTTTAACTATCCTAGAAAAGCTACAAAGAACTTATTCAAATTCCAAAGTAATTGTTTTAAATAATTAATGTTATAAGAATAATCATTAGATAAAAATATTCCATTAACACCGAAATAAATTTATTTACATGTTATTAGAGTTCTTACCTATGATAGTTCTTAAAATAATTGACACTTTGCTTTCTGATAGACTCTTGCAAAACTTCAGACTTGCTACCACAAAATTCTTCTCCAACTTGCATCAACCTAATCAGATAGAAAGGTTTATGCAAATTTCAGCAACATCCTTACAAGAGCAAAAGAAGTCTGGGTTCTCCTTCTTCAAAGATAACAAGTCATAAAAATTTGCATATTTAAAAAATTTTAAAGATCACAAATCCAAAATGTTTTAAAAACATAGAAAGGACAGAAATATTTAAATACATTCACACATAAATCCAGATGCAATTAATCATAAAAGTACAATTATCTTAATTTCCATGAAGAAGTTACACAAAATAATTCCTGATTTCTTTGATTACTATGATTGAATGAATGCTAAAGAATCAGAGAAGATCTCAAACATTACCTGCTGATTATATCCAAAACAAAGATGAAATCATCATATTTGAAAATAGACAAATCAGTTCCAAGCAAGTAAGTTTTTACTTTTAACTGGACATCCTGTAAGACAAAAAAAAAAAAAAAACTTCAAGAACCGAATATAAAGAAAGTAAATTCTTATATCCATTTACTCTAAAGTTGCAGATTAAACTGAAACAGGAATATATTCTTAAGTTGATAAACAATATCTAGTCAGGCCAATAACCAACATCTTTAAGGGCAAAACAGAACAATTTTTCATGAATATCAAATACAAAATAGTAATGGCTAGAATCCCACAATTTAAGAGTTTTATTAAATTCTATCCAACATAAAAACACATATAATTCTTACAAGAATTATACAGTCATAATGGGTACATGGACAAATATTTTTATTTATGCATAACTTTGGTTAATTAAAAACCTCAAAAACAAAACAAATTCAAATTTTAATAACTATGTGAAGTGACTAAATATAAGACAATATATAAAAATTGTACCTTTCACATATACCTGCAAAGAGCCTTAAAAATTATAGATTTTTCTTAAAATAGAGGTTAAAAATAAAATATGCTAGGAATAATTGTAATACAAACTATCAGACCGCTAAGAAAAAAGTACTAACTTTAATGAGATACAAAAAGAATTTTCAATAAATTAAGGGTAATAGGACTGGGTGGGTGACTACACAGTATAAAGGAATCAATTTTCCAAATTAATACATAGATTCAATGAAATTCTAACCAAAATCACAAGAACTTTCCTTCTGATTAACCATTCTAAAATTTACCTAGAACAACAGACAACACTGTTTTTAAAAAATAAAGCTCTGTAAAGACTGAATAAAAATGATAAGTAATGTTATACTCATTACTTATACTGTCTGTATTAAATACAGCAAAACCTATTTAAAATAAAAGAATGCTAATAATATAGCAACATATAGAGAAATCAACACATAAACAGCCCAAAAATAGTGATGATATATATTCTGCATGTATCATATATAATGGCTTCATGAAGAATAGTAAAAATTTGTTTTCTGATTATTTATTTTGTGTCAAACATTATGCTAAGAACTTTACATATTATCTAAGGTAACAAAAGCCCTGTTGAACAGGATTTATGAACCCCCCTAAGAGGAGAAACTGAGAAAGGTCAAGTAATCATCTAAACTCAAATGCCCAGTGAATGACACAGCTAATCCTTGAATCCAGGTCTACCTGCCTTCCAAGTCTCCTTTCTTCACTCTATCTTGCAATGAACAAAGTAGAAAGTGGTAAAGGGCAAACTAACTAGATTAGGAGGGAAAAAAAAATCTCATATGAAATGTCAAAAGAAATACAAAATGGATTAGGAAGTATTTTTGTATATTTTCAAAGGAGTAACAATTAGAAATTAGAAATTAAATAAAGTAAAAATATTTCCTGAGTGTCTATTAATATTCCAGGTAGTGTTCTAGATTATTTAGATAAATATTTATAATCACCAGGTGGATATTTAGCTGAGCTTTACAAAGGGAAGGGCTTTTTTTCTTTCAGTGCTGAGGTTTGAACTCAGGGCCTACACCTTGAGCCACTCCACCAGCCCTTTTCTGTGATTTTTTTTTTTTTTTGAGATAGAGTCTCACGAACTATTTCCCCAGGCTGGCTTCGAACCACAATCCTCCTGATCTCTGCCTCCTGAGTAGCTACTAGGATTATAGGCGTGAGCCACTGGTGCCTGGCCAAGAGCTTTTTAAGAATAAATAAAGCATAAGAACTCACAAGATGACAAAAGTCAATAGTTTGACATCATAGGGCTGACAGTGGCTCAAGTGGTAGAGGGCCTGCCTAGCAAGCATGAAGCCCTGGGTTCAATCAAACTCCAGTACCATCAAAAAAAAAAAAAAGTTTGACATCACAAAAATGCTGTCTGCGTACTGAAGATAAGAGAATATAAGACAAAATAAGATAAGTAATTACTCATTACAAGTCATTTAGACTCTATGAAATAAATAAGCAAAAAAGAACAAGTCATTCAAAACATTGTAATAAAATCTCAAAAGTTCAACCCTCTAATTACAAGAAAAAGTGTCTCTCCAAAAAAAGAACAAATTTTTACACTGAGAGGGGGCACAACTAAAACACCACCCAAACAGCACTTAAAATAAATGGATGGTCAAAGATTTGTCAGGCAGATATAAATGAAATAAAGATAATAGGGCCAGGCACAGTGGCTTGCACCTGTAATCTCAGCCACACAAGAGGCATAGGAAGGAGGATCGCTGTTTAAGGCCAATCAGGCAAAAATTACAAGACTGTACTTGAAACATAACTTAAAGCAAAAAGGGATGGAGACATGGCTCAAATGGCAGAGTGTTTGCCTAGCAAGGACAATGTTCTGAGTTCAAACTCCAGTACTACATACATGCATGCATACATACACAAATGTACAAGTAGTAGCAATAACATCAAGCAAACTAGAATTCCTGAGGAAAAATGCCTCAGGAATAAATCTTAAGGGAAAAAAAATCCTCTTTGATGATAGGTAAATTCTTTTCCTAATCCAACTCTTACTTGTTCACTGCTTTATCTGACTCCCTCCTTAGCTAATTGTGCTCTGGAATTCAGGATTTCAGGTGTTAGGAAGGTGATATAAGGAGGCATCTAGAGCCATATCACCCTGAACATACCTGATCTCAAAAGCTAAGGAGAGTTAGGCCTGGTTAGTAGTAGGATGGAAGAAAGGTAACATGATACAGCATATATCATCTAACACTCCTCTAGTGGGGTCTGTGACGACATCCTGTAATGTGTGGGCGTCCACTGTACTGGGACAAATAAGGACTACCAATATCCTAGGGACAAAACTGGTCAAGATCTGCTGGCAAATGAGTTCAACTCAGGTCAAATTTTACCTGCTAACTATGTTACCAAAAAACACTCGTTTTTCAGAGCACTTGCTTTTTTCAACAGCATTGAGTCTTATAATCACAACTTAATGAAAATTCAATGAGTTTCTAACATCTGCAAAGACCTCTTCCAGAACAGGTTGAGAATTAGGTTTGGGGATGCAGAAGGTCTGAGCAGTAGTGAAGGAGAAAATATTCTAAAGCTTGAAACCTAGAACACAGTAATTGCTCTTTGAAAGCAATTACTATAAAATCTGGTCAAATAAAAAATCAGTATTATTAGAAACATTAAAATCCAATTTAACAGCCCGTTAACATGGTCAGAGTGTGTACAGTCTTCCAAGGCTCTACAACATACAAAAAGAGTCACCCTCAAAGAAATTACACTTTGATAAAGGAAGTGTAACATTTTAACAAATTAAAAAATTATCTGATTACAATACTGAGCCACTAAACTGAAAACCTTAAAAAAATACTGCTATAGTCTCAATTTTTTAGTTCCCTCAAAATTCATATGTTGAAATAATAACTTCCAAGGTACAGGTATAGGAAGTGCTGCCTTTCTGCAGAGATTAGGTCATAAAGGTGGAGCCCTCATGACTGGGATCAGTGCCTTTATAAAAGGGGCCTGAGACGTAACCTTCTTCATTTCTACTACGTGAGGACACATAGAAGCACCATCTATGAGTCAGGAAACAAGCTCATCAGACACCAAATCTGTCAGATTTTTGATCTTAAACTTCCCAGCCTCCAGAACTGTGAGACATAAATTTTCATTGCCTCTAAGCCAACAGTTTGGGGTATTTTGTTACAGTTGCCCCACAAATTTTTTTGGCCAATAAGCACGTAAGAGTCTCTCAAAGGCATAAAGCTTACTAAGAAAAAAAATGTTCACTTGATATTAGCCACATGTCATCTACTTAATGGTCCCTTTCCTAAAATTAAGAGAAAAGGACATTAAGAAAACATGAATAAATGAAATTAAAGAAACAAAACATCTCAATAAGAAAGCATAAATTTCTTTAGGAAAGCATAAGTTTGCTAGGACTCTAAAAGCAAAAATATAATCAAGAAATACATATTTCCAATGGAGGTTTTCGTTTTCAAACTAAAAGATGTTTCTGTTGCCACTTACAGTCCAATATAATTACCAACTAAATTACAAAAATTAAATTAAATGATATCTTTGTTCTTAAGAAAAACCAATGTATAATTAAATCTTCAAAGACTACAAATACAGAAACTTTCAAAACTTAATTGTTAAAGCAACTTTGACATGAAGGTTTCTATTGCTTCTATGAAAAAATAATTTTAAAAAAGCTCAAACCTGCCATATTCGTGTAAGTCCATGTTCTAATTTCTTTTTTATGTAGCCACGATCAAAATTAGTTTCTTCAGTACCCATCATATTACTCCCTTCTGAAAACAAAAGATGATATATATTTTTAGAGTTAGTTCAAGGTATTTTTGTTTTCCAAAAGTATCTACTTGGCCTATTATTTTTGTAACCCTATGTAAAATACAGAAAATGTGTTTAATACTTATACCTTCCTCTCATTTTTGTGAGCTTATATAAAATACAGAAAGCTCAAAATTTATACACTCAAAACAATGTCAAAAACAGGTATCAGAATTAAACCCATTTGATAAGATAGATCTCCTTAGATAGTGAAATGCTAAAAACACCTAAGACCACTGGCTCAAATGACACTAGAGCTAGGATTCTAGCACAGGTAGGGTGGTCCCAGGGTTCAGGTTCTCAATGGCCACAAACTGCCTATTGTAATATCATGTAATGTGGCTGATGCCAAGGCATTACAACAGGACCAATTAACCCAATTATCAATTAATTTTTTTTAATATGCAAGCCAACAAGAGTAGACTGCAGAAGTACTCATGCAGGGAAGTAATGATGCATAACTGTATTTTTTTCATAATGAATAATAGTATTAATCAGTCTACACAAATAGTACTACAATGTCTGGTTCAACAGGTAAGATCAATGATCTGTCTCAAAGCAAATTTTCCCCTAAAAATAACAGAAAAACATATTTAAAAAGAACATACCCCTCACCATGTGTGATCCTAGCTACTTGGAAGGTTGAAATCAAGAGGATAGCGGTTTGAGGCCAGCCTGGGCAAACAGTTCATGAGAAACCCAACCCATCTTTCATCTCCAAAAGAACCAGAGCAAAGTGTACTGGAGGCAAAGCACCTGCTTTGCAAGCGTGAAGCCCTGGGTTCAAACCCCAATCCCATCAAAAAAAAAAAAAAAACCACTTTTGTGTTCACCTTTGTATGAATAAGCTGTGCAGAACACCTGAGTATATTAGCATCTCCTCCTAACAAGGAAAAGCCGTTTGCATCACCTCCTGCATCGCCTCTTGGGGAACCACACCCAATCACACAAACTAAGCACCTCAGAAATTGGAAGTTACTAAAAAAAACTCAACTGAATTAAATTGCATGTGATATTAAAAAAAATCTGTGTAGTATTTATTTTACCCATATTAAACAAAATGCCAAAAAAATAACTTAAAGGCATTTTGACTATTTAACCTTGGCTACTATTCAAAGATACTTAAGATACACAACAATATAAATGAGGCAATTTAAGTAGAATGCCTCATAAACATAATTTCTTAGACTTACTTTTTATTATTTACTGTCTGTACACAGTCATTTAAAGTTATACTTTCCATTTAAAGAAGAATAAATTTCTGATGAAATTCAAAATCTTCCTGTATTTTCAGGAAGGGAAATATCAATATAATGATTAAGTCTTAGAATCTAGCTTTATTAGTACAACTTGAAAATTAACAAAAGAGATCAACACTGAGCATTTACCATTGATTTCATAGTAAATTTGAATGGACAATGACTCCTCTAGCTTGCAGTGATAAATACTAAAGAAATTTTTTTTTAAGAAAAACACTTCCTAAATAATTCATTCTTAAGTCCATCAGCACACATTCCTGGAAATGGTACTACTGGCCACTTTTTTTAGTAGTTACTAATCACTTCCTTTCCTGAACATTTAATTTGTGGTCACTATAATACATGAAAGCCTAAAGGCATGCCTGTCCCTTTTCTTTTTTCCTACTCCAGATATGTGGCAAGCTTATAGTTCAATTTTTAAAATAAAATCCAAATAATTTCCTACCAGCAGCTGAAGCACTGTCCTCACTGTCATGCTTTTCATGCCATTCCATGGTCCTGTAATAGCTGAGCATAACTTCCCACAGTGCTTTGCACAGGTCTGCCAGGCAAGGAATATAGCTGTCTGGTGTAACATGCTGAAGAAAATGAGAAAAGCCAATTTTCAAATTATTGTATTTACTTAAAATACTTGTAGCCAATCAAAATGTTATGTTATTAATGAAATTTATTTTAGAAATTAGAGATAAGTAGGAAGACTTCTTCCAGTAATATGTCTGTAGAGAAAATTCAATGGTACGGTTTTTTTCAAGTAATTCCCCTTTCAACATGACTTTTTAGTACTCATTATTAACAAGAGTCCATACACTGTCAACCCATTATAGTCACAGAATCATAGTCTTTAAGAAATTATTGCATTAGCAGATGTTCTCCTAAATGGCAGTGTAAACTTACCAGATAGATGTTTTCAAAGATGCGCTTCTAAACATGCAAACATGGCTTTAGATTTATCCTTGGACTTAAGTCACAGCGAGCAAAATAGGCTGGATTTATAATTCAATCATCACATTTATGCAAATTAAATAAATACATTGAACAATCTTCAGATTCCTAAAATTATATGGCTACAGATACCCTGCAATTAACAGCAACACTTTAAGGTCATGTTTTACATAAACAAGGCTATGAATCAACATGGGATCCCAAATCTTCTCCATAATGGAACTGCCTGGTCTCGTTCCCTCTTCACCCTTTGTGAAAACAATCAGTCGTTCAGACTTTTTTTTTTTTCTATCCTATTTTGCAGGCTGCCCATTTGTCAGAATGCAGCATCTGTTCCACCAGTGGTGAGAGTCTACGATTCTTTCAATCAGCCATATATGACCATGCCAATGAAATACTCAAGTGCTCAGACTGGTATAAGGAAGCCCCCCAGGTACAGAGGCAGGAGAGAATAGCTGTGCAAAGACAGCTACAGTGAGGCCGGCACTCACGAGGACAAAAGGGGCCGTGGTCCTCTCACAAAAGCTTTCTCTTCCCAGTGATTTCCCCTCCTCAAAACTTGTCATTTACCATTCTGTTAGCAATTAAAAATCATAACAGTTTTGTGTAAACATATTAAATGTCTGAACCAGGAAATAATAAAACAAAAGAGTTAAGCTCTGGGGTCAGACTGCCTAAACTAGGTTTATGCCAAAATGCTAGAATCATTTAATCATGTAAAACAAAATTATTATGATTTGCCCTAGTAAATTCCTAAGTAAATTTCCTAAGAAGGAAAACCAAATGATTACCTCAATATATGGTGAGAGAAAAAAAGCTGGCATCAATATGATTCATTCAACACCCATTTCTAATTAAAAATTCACAAGAAAGTAAAAATGGATGGATAACTCCTTAAGATGAGGAAACTGCTAGCCAGGCATGGTGGCTCACACCTGTAATTCCAATTACTCAGGAGGCAGAAATCAGGAGGACAGTGGTTCAAGGCAGGTTCAGGTAAAAGTTAGCAAGACCTCCATCTCAACAAATAAGCCAGCCATGGTGGACATTCCTGTAATCCCAGTTACACAGGAAGCATAGGTAAAAGGATCATGGTTTCAGGCTGGCCCAAGCAAAAAGTGAGACACTACCTAAAAAATAACCTGAAGAAAAGTGGAATGGAGGCATAGCTGAAGTGGCAGAGTTCATGCCTAGTACAAGGCCCTGAGCTCTCAAACCCCAGTACCCTTACCAAAAAAAGATGAGGAAATGCTAAGGAATCACCACTGTGGTCAGGAACAAAATAAGGATACTTATCACCTCAGTTCCTATTTAACAAAACTCTGAAGGTTCCAGATAATGCAATTAGACTAGAGAAGACAATCAGAAGCAAAAGAAGAAAAATGACCATGTGCTGATGACATAATATACCTGGAAATTCCTAAAGAACCAACAGCAAGACTAGCGCAAGCAACAGAAGAAGGTCACGTGTTATAAAATTAACATGCAGAAGAACGCAATAGCATTTGTATATAAATAATAATCATTTAGATACACTAAATGAGAAATCCCCATTTACAGTAACCATAAAAGAGGTAAAAAAAAAAGCTTAGGAATAAATCTCACAACAAATGATCAAAAAACTCCATGAAGAAAATCATGAAACGATCCTGAAAGACATAAAGGTAGACTTAAACAAAACAGAAAAATCTTAATTCTTGGTTAGGATATTTCAACATCAAGATGTCCTACCCAAGTTAATTTATGACCTTACTGTGCTACCAAAAAAAGGAAGTTCAGAAATAGATCCAAGCTCATAAAAATCTAGCATTTGATAGAGAAGGCAAGTCACACCACTCTGGCAAAGACGGTCCTTTGCACAAATAGTGTTGGAAAATTAATTAGTCAGTTTGAAAAGGATAAAATTAGACATACTCCTCACACCATATAAGAAGAAACTCCAATGATTAAGAGAGCTAAGTGAAAAAAAATGAAACTCTACTAGCACTCTAACTTTGCATAGAGAAAGCTCTTTTCTAATTTGAAATTCAGAGGCAATAAAAGTAAAATTTGATAATTACTACATAAAAGTAAAACAATTTGTGTGGCAAAAACACCACAAGCAAAATCAAAAGGCAAATGACAAACTTGGAAAATATTCACAACACATACTTGCAATAAAGAGCTAATAAGCCACTATCTATAAAGAACTCCAAAGTTTGCAAAGGTGGGTGTGGTGGGCAGGAGGACTGCTTGAGCTCAGAGCTCACAGCCAGCCTGAGCAGCATAGCGAGACTCCATCTCAAAGCTGCAAGAATAACAACAATAACAAAAAAGTTTGGGAATAAAGACAAGAAACCCCAAAGAAAAATGGAAAGAAAGTATATGAACACACCTCACAAACAAATCATAAAAAGCAGACCTGAAACATGAGAGCATGTTCAGCTTTACTTAGAACAAATAAAACTATAAGAAAATACAAAATTCTCACTCATCAGATGTCTAAATATTTTCAAGCTGACAACTGACAAAGATTTGCTCCTTAACCAAGCTCCAGCCAGGCTCCTCTGAGTCCTCTGGGTACCTGGGACATCAACACATACTATCACAGTTTCTAATGGCCCAAAGCCACAACTTAGTATGACCCTAACTCCCCTGACAGTGCCTGCCTGAGAAAACTCAAGGCTGCCAAAAGAACTTAGCTTGTTCCAGCCAGCACCTGACGATGGGCTACTCTCCCAGTCTCTGTGTGAAGACAGCAACCGAAAAGCACCAGTTAGCAAACCCAAGTGGGTTTCATAGGGACCAAGGTCTGTCCTCACTTTTTCACAATTTTCCACGGTCACCTCCTCCTGCATTCACACATTCTCCCCTTGAAGTGTCCAGTTACCTTTGTACAAACTGAAGAGTAATTCAATTCACACTGGACTCTGCTCCGTACTACAATATACATTACTGATTAAAATCTATCCTTACCAGTTTAGCAACTGGTTTTAACATCAAGAACACTCTGTTGGCAAGGCTGTGATGAAACATTAGGATACACTGCTGATGAAGATGCAAAATATCCCAGGAAGGGAAATCTGGTACCACCTAACAAGTTTATATATTTTCCCTTCAACTAGAAATCCAGCTTCAAGAAATTTATCCTAAAGATAAATCTCAAACAATGTGAAAAACAGGTGCACAAGGTTATTCATTGAAGGATTATTTGTAATTGTAAAATGTTAAAACCTATCTAAATGTCCAACATGGAAGACTGATAGAATAAACTATCATGCACATACACAAAAGAATATTATGTAGCTGTGAAAATTAATTTGGGGTAAACACTCATGCTTACTTACATAATTGCTACTTTTAAGTGAACTAGTCTTAATTCTTTTTCCTTGGTTTATTGTAGCCTATCATTACACTTGATCTATCTCTTATACTGCACACATATATTAAAAACTAACACTGACTAATCAACTAACCAACAGAAAAAGGCTAAAAGCAGATAGTAAAGCAAAACTCACAAAAATTTCTGAGCCACAACTCAGTAATCATTCACTCAAATACAGGCACTCTTCTATAAGCCAATTTCCCCAACTTTCATAAACTCAACTTTCCATAAATTCATATTCATATCATGCAAATATGTTTAATCTAAGCATATACCAATACTCTTTGTGGTAGATATGAAGAAGGCAGAATTAGTCACAGTTTGGAAAAATCTAAGACTATACAAATAACAGCGTTATAGTTCACCAATTAATGTTTATTATATTTGTCACAGTTCAACAAACCAGAAAATTAAAAGTTAGACCTACTACCTTCTATTTGCCACCTAATCACTGTCTAGACACATTATTTGTCTATTTGAAGAAAAGAAGGTCCTTTCCTATGTTAGTGAGATATACACAGATGTAAATGTCAATCTTTTTAAACAAGTTGAAATTATGCAGTGACATTATAGCAAGCCTTTTTTCTCATTGATTCAAGTATAATTCACAGATTTAGCTAAACCACTGAACTTGCCCAAAAACCTCTCTCAAATTTTACCATCTTTCCAATATATTTATACATACAAGCATAAGAGTAAGATATATTCAGAACCAGTTAACAAGATGAGTCTTGCCTCAGTTTATACTCTAAAACAGAAATAAATATAGAGCCCATTTTACTATATATATGTGTGTATACATGCATACATATACTTTTGTATATATACTATAGATATTTTGCCATATATATACTTATTGCATATACATGTATGTAATAAGTATTTCAAGGAAGAAAGGCAAACTGGGATAGGTAAAAAATAATGTCTTCAAAAGGTCTAGGGACAGGGCAGGTATGCTTATCTCTGTACTTGAAAACTATGCTGGCAAAAGGGCAGAGTCATTTTGTGGTTAGTTTGGACCACTTTCCACTACACCATGCAACCAGCTGGTGTCAACTCAGATCAACAAATGCTTATCATGCTTTTAATGCTATGTTCTTAATCTCTTGCATAGTACTTTCTAATTACAAAGATCACCTCCAAATTTTAAACAAGAAATCTTATTACACAGACTTTGAAGAACCATGACCAAAGAGATTCAGAAAACCAATAAATACACAATACTTATGGAAGTAATAAAAAAAAAAAGGACAGTGCAAGAAGAAGACCTGAATTTCTGAACAAAGAGCCTACACAACTTCTACCCAGATGTAAATTCGTCACACCTGCAGAGCATAATGGAAAGAAACTAAGTCAAGGAACTTGGAGACCTTGGCTCCAGCTGTCACTAGGTTCACAACCTACCACTTGGTTTTAGAGAACAAGCCACTCTGGATCTACCGCACCTTTCATAAAAGTGTTGGGGACACCTGGAACTTCATGTCTGATGGTGGGTTAAATAATTCATCAATTACTACTTAACACTGAAACTTGGTTCAAGTTTCAATTAAGGGAAGTCTGAATTTGCATGAGACCAGGAGGACCTCCTGACAGAGGAACACTATACTGTAACTCCAGGTTTATGTCCCTATCACGTACAGAAAATAGCAATCAAAGTCTTGAATGAATCAATATAGAAAATATTCACAAACTGAGACACCTCAAAAATTAAACTGCCATGAATTTTTTAAAGTTAAGAACAGATAAATAACAGAAATTTATTACCAATATTTCTCTGTGTTCTACAGCTATTTTTCCCACTTTCACATTCTATAGAGGTTGTGTGGTGAGAAGAGG